CACAAAAAAAAATATTACTACACGTCAAATTGGACCATCATAAACAGAACACAAAAGAAGAGATAAGGATGAAGTGAATCTGAACATCAAAGGCAAAAACTACAGTAGCCCAGACTCAGTAAATACCTTCTGAACTTGCAAAGATACTTGACTGTTTTGTAGCTTGATCTTCATAACCAAGTAACACAGTGATCGGTGATGATAAAAGTAAAACATAATGACCATATGTCTGGATAAATAGGGAAGACTCCAGCAGTTAAACATGAAAAAAGCTACCATTCCCTTTATACAAACTGTGCTGCATTAATATTAAATATCAACATCAAGCTTATTGGACAATACTTACTCACATCTGAATCAGCCGGTGAAAACGGATTTCAACAAGGTAATCCATTTTCTGGTCCACTCCGATACACATGCATGCATATCAGGTGATACACAACATGAGATGATCATTTTTAAGACTGACTATTAAATACGAAATGATCACTGCACAACAGGCATTGCTATTAAAAATTGCATTAGCACAACTTATTGATGGTACATGACATAATACGATTAAGTCGAGCTTCATGTGCAGCGAGAGATGGCACCAAACAAATACAATTCATTTGAGCACACACATGTCTATGTAGGTGTACGCTCGACAAAGGAATTAAAATTATCTTGCTGAAATTTGAGTTTTTCATGGATGCAGGATTTTTTTTGGTTCTTTATTAATGTAGCAACAGTCTATAAACATCACCAGCCATCCAAAACATTCTAAATCACATTTTGTATCGAAAAAAAAAGAATAACTTTCCTTAGCACTATACTACCTTCAATCTCTTTTTTTATTGGCGGAAGTACCTTCAACTCACCCTCAGGTCAAACAGAAATTTCTCTTGCGCAAACATCACGATCTAAGAACCATCTTCCTTGTTAAGAAGCCATCAACCTACTGAAGGGTGACCACCACATAGCCTGGAGGCTGTAGCACGACGTGCCGACGTGGCCTGCAGTTCAATGTTCGATTGAGCACAACACGCTGGAGGAGGCAGGCAATAGCTGAGCAGCAGGAGCCTGAAGTGAAGTATCAGATGTAGAAACTGAATTTGTATTTGTGAAGAATCTAGAACTCAGATTTAAATGAGTGTAAATCAAGGTTCTCAATTTAAGATTCTTGTCAAATTGTGAGGACAATACTCACTGACCATCTGGGCTAGCTGATGTTCTTCAGTTGTGCACCTGAGGGTAGTGTGGTATTTTTTTTTAACACAAGGTAGTGAGGAATTTAAACTCTCTCTTTTCAGCCAATATAAAGGGGGAAACGCTTGCCACTGGCTGGCCGGCCGAATCTTGGACCGGATGCGCGCAAGCCATCAGATGAGAGGACATCGCACGGCCACGCACGCGCACTGGGCCCCTCCAACCTTATCTTCTTCTCCATCGTTTTTCTTCCACCCTAAACCCTCTGGTTCTCTCTCTGTATCCATCGCATATGACCTTCTAAGCACGGCTGCACCACCGAGCTCACCGTCGTCGACAGCTCCACCACCGCTGAGGCAAGCCCCTTCCCAATGCGCCGGAAAAAAAGAGACCACTGCTGTTGACACGGGCTGCGCGGGTGCGGGCCCGGCGGTCTGTCCTTTGCAAGCTCCAAACCACTACGCTAGAAGTTGGACGTGCCCACGCTGGCTTCAAGGGGACGACGCGCCGTGCTGGGACCCAGCAGCGGAAGATTTTGCTGGAAGCTCCTCATCGGCGACGAGTTGTGACAGGGAGCACACATGGATGCTACAACCGGCGACCACGGGTGCTGGAACCGGCGAAGTCGGTTCCTGGAAACGGCGACCACATTTGCTACCACTGGTGTCGCAAGCGCCACCAGATGCTGCAACCAGCCGCCGCAATTCCTGGGACCGGTGTCTTCGTTTGCTGGAACCAGCTTTCTTCGTCGGCGGTGACCATGGCAACCGCGGGACAACATTCCCGCCTCTCCTTTTTTCCTGGAATTAGCGGCGAGGCTGGAACCGTTGCCGGAAAAAGCTTAACCTCCCATGAGCAATGCTAGAGCCTGTTAAACAAATTAGGTTTTGAAACAATGCTCGATATCCTTGGTGGGTACGGCTGTCATATATTTATAAGAGGAAACCGTACAAATACAGGTTATGTTACAACACGTATATCTAATATATATTTAGTCTAACACCCTCCCTCAATCTTAACTATGTCCTGAAACACTCAGGACGTTAAGATTGCGACGACATCCTTCAAAAGAAGGCAAGGGCAAGGGTTTAGTGAAAATATCAGCAAGCTGATCCTTAAAAGAAACAAATTTAATCTGAAGGAGCTTCTGAGCAATACGTTCCCTCACAAAATGATAGTCAACTTCGATGTGCTTCGTTCGGGCATGAAATACTGGATTGGTTGGCAGATACGTAGCACCGATGTTATCACACCAAAGAACAAGTGGCTGAGTTGGGGAGGCCTTCAGCTCTCGAAGCAATGACTGTACCCACATAATCTCAGCTGTGGCATTAGCAACAGCTTTGTACTCAGCTTCGGTACTACTCCGAGACACCGTAGCCTGCTTGCGGGCTTGCCAGGCGATCAAGTTAGGTCCAAAGAACACAGCATGTCCCCCCGTGGATCGCCGATCATCTGGACTACCAGCCTAATCGGCATCAGAAAATGCTGAGATCAGTCCAGAACGTGCAGGCTGAAGATGAAGTCCATAGGAACCAGTGTGATGAATATAGCGCAAGATACGCTTAACAGTTGACCAGTGAGAATCACGAGGTGCATGAAGGTACTGGCACACACGGTTAACTGCAAATGATATGTCCGGCCTAGTAATGAGCAAGTACTGCAGTCCACCCACAACGCTGCGGTACTCAGTGGCATCCTCAGGAGAGAGCAAGTCACCAGCAAGAGCTGTCAGTTTGTCTGTGGCAGACATGGGAGTCATAGCAGTCTTGCACTTCAACATACCTGCACGATGTAGGAGATCCTGAGAGTACTTCTTCCGAGTAAGAGTCAAGCCACTATCAGAATGAAGAACCTCCAAGCCCAGACAATAATGCAGTCTCCCAAGATCCTTAACAGCAAACTCAGCGCCAAGAGAGGACACAAGACGATCTGTAGCAGTGGCAGATGAACTGACAAGAATAATGTCATCAACATAGACCAGAACATACATAGTCACCTCAGGTCGCTGAAGAATAAACAGAGACGTGTCCGCTGTAGAAGGAACAAACCCATGTGCACGAAGAGCAGCACCAAGACGGGCATGCCAGGCACGCGGGGCCTGCTTCAGACCATAGAGAGCCTTGACAAGGCGACACAAATGATGTGGCTGAGCAGGATCAACGAAACCTGGCGGCTGACGCATGTAAACCTCTTCTTCCAGAACTCCATGAAGGAAGGCATTCTGAACATCAAGCTGTCGAAGTGACCATCCACGAGTAACAGCCAAGGAGAGGAGAACACGAATAGTAGTTGGTTTAATAACAGGACTAAACGTGTCTGCATAATCAATGCCATACCGTTGCTTGAATCCCTTGGCAACCAGGCGCGCCTTGTACCTCTCAATGGAGCCATCAGCATGCTTCTTCACCTTGAATACCCATTTAGAGTCAATGATATTGACACCAGATGGAGGTGGAACGAGACGCCAAGTGTTGTTTTTCCGAAGAGCACAGATCTCCTGCTCCATCGCAGCACGCCAATGCGAAATGCCAAGTGCTGCTCGAAAATGTCGTGGTTCAGCTGTAGGATTAGCCTCAGCATGCGCCACACAAGCCGCAAGCCACGCGACGGTGCCATCGGTGCGCTTCTTCGGCTGAAAGATGCCACTCTTGTTGCGAGTATGAGGACGCAGGACGACAGATGGCGGTGGCGATGGAGCTGTCACGACAGAGGGCACGGTCAGAGTCAGCGAAGACATGCTGGGGGGCGTCGACGAGCCAGGCGACGAGGATGCAGCGGTTGGCGAGTCCGCCGGCCCAGGGGAATCAGGTGCCCTGTCCATCAGCACCGCGGGCTCAACCAACCCAGGCGACAGCGGGGCCGCCCCAAGCGACAGCGGGGTCGCCAGCCCAGGCGACGGAGAGGCCGCCCGAGACAAGCGCGAGGCCGCCAGCCCAGGCGACGGAGAGGCCACCCCAGGTATGTGCGAGGCCGCCAGCCCAGGTGACTCGGGCGCCCTGTCGGTTCCACGTGCATGGGACATGCACGCGTGATCGACGTCGGGGACAGTGGGCGTAGCGGCGGGGGCAGTCAACGGAGCAGCAGTCGGCGCAGTAGTGTCCACATCATCATCAAGTAGCTCAAGTCGAGCACCTCGTCCAGTTCCTGCACCATGGTTAGGCAACAACAAAGGAGAATATGCAGCATCCACAAATTGATCAGGCAAAACTAGAAAAGAGTGCAACTCGGTGACGGGAGTATCGGTGCGTGGCGTGAGTGTGGAAAACGGGAAGACAGTCTCGTCAAACACAACATCGCGAGAAATATAAACACGATTCGTCGGAATGTGAAGACACTTATAACCTTTGTGGAGGGGACTGTATCCAAGAAACACATATTGTTTGGACCGATACTCAAGTTTATGCTTATTATACGGACGAAGATGTGGCCAACAAGCACAACCGAACACTTTGAGTAGGGAGTAATCAGGAGTTTCATTGAGCAACACTTCCAGCGGAGACTTCATGTGAAGAAGTCGTGTGGGAATCCTGTTAATCAAAAAACAGGCAGTAACAAAGGCATCGCTCCAGAACCGAAACGGGACACAGGCATGCGCAAGAAGTGTTAGGCCAGTTTCAACTATGTGACGGTGCTTGCGTTCAGCAGCACCGTTCTGCTGATGTGTATGAGGACAAGACACATGGTGTGAGATGCCAAGCTTTTGAAAGAAGGTGTTAAGGTTACGATACTCACCACCCCAGTCTGACTGGACATGGATGATTTTGTACTTAAGCAATCGCTCAACATGTGCTTGAAATTGCATAAAGACATGAAACACATCAGATTTGCGCTTAATAAGATAAATCCAAGTAAAGCGTCTGAAAGCATCGATGAAACTAACATAATAGTTGTGACCACTGACAGAAGTTTGGGCATAGCCCCATACATCGAAAAACACAAGTTCAAGAGGTGACATGGATGCAACATGGGATCATGACAAAAAACTGTTGTGCTGACTTTTTTTTTTGCTGCTATTTGGCGATGGTGAGCGCCGGCGGCGAGCATCGATGGCAAGGCAAAACGTGCAAGGCCGACTGGGGATGGGCGGCCGCCATGTATTTCTACTTTGTTGTTTTGGGAGAGACGACCGAGAGGGAGGAAGACGACGCATCACGCGGGGGATCGAACGGTTGGATGCTGCCAAATCGGACGCACGCTCGGTGACCACCCAAATTTGGGCCGGCTGGCCAGCACCTATCACTGGCCATATAAAGGGCAGTGTTCCTGCCAATTTTTCGGGAGCAAATCATGGATGTTGTCCATGTGTGAGCATATCGATGGATTGAAAATCATTGTAATATAATGCAGTTGGAAAAAAGACCAATCAAACTATTAAAAGAAAAGAAAGCTATTAAAACCTCACATAAATTCTATGGAAAGCTATTAAAACCTCACATAAATTCTATGGAAAGCTATTAAAACCATGCGCAAAAAGAAAAGAAAGCTACTATTAAACCATATCAAAAACGATTAACTCATGTGAAGAAAAACAAAATCTAAGGATATATAAAAGGAAACAAATTTCATCTCTCCCATGCGTTGGGTAATGGATAATTCTCTCGTGAAAGCTCTCCCCTCCTTCCCATCCGCCTGGCTGCCGGGGGATCGCTGGCCGGAGACGGCCCTCCGCCTGCCTCTGCTGCTGCTACTCCTCCCAGTAACTCTCATTATCCTTCTCCTCTTCTTCCCCTCCTCCCCACCCCTGCCCCTGCCGCACTCCGACATCCCCTGCGGCGCCGTCCCCGCCGACGCCACCGCCGGCCGCTGGGTCCCGACACCGTCTCCCCCGCCGCCTGACCTCTACAATCAGTCCTGCCCCTTCCACCACAAAAGCTGGAACTGCCTCCGCAACGGCCGTCCCCCGGTCGCCGCGTTCTCCTGGCCCCCTCCCGCTGCGGCTCCGGCGCCGTCGTCCCGAGGGTCGACCCCGCCGCGTTCCTCGCGGCGGCCAGGGGGCGCCGGATCGGGTTCGTGGGGGACTCGCTGTCGGAGAACATGGCCATCGCGCTGCTCTGCGCGCTCCGGTCGGGCGACGCCGGCGTGCGGGAGTGGAAGTGGCGCGGCGCGTGCCGGGGCGGTCACTTCCCCCGAGAGGACGTCGTCGTCGGGTACCACCGCGCCGTGCTCCTCGCCAAGTACACGTGAGTCCTGCGTGCAACTGCATGTCCACGGCCACGGGCTACGCGCAACTACATTTATGTTTTTTAACAAAACAAAAATGTCGAGAAACAAAAAATGAAATGAGAAAAAATAAAAGGGAAAAACTTAAAATACACGCTTAGGTCACCTAGATAAGACTTAGGTCACATTAGATGATAGCTAACCACAGCCATAGAATTATATGGTGTCCATATATAGCTTCTTATATATAGGAGTTCAATTTGCTTGGTTTAATTGTTTATGGTATATATAGTATGAATGTAAAATGGAGGATCCTCGGTAAATCAGGGGCGGTTACTGACTTACTGTAATGTGAGATGTCGGGGGCATGAGTAAACTATACGTAGTTCTGGGATATTCTCAGGAAACGATTCTGGTGATGCGTATTTTTACACTCTAGAAATATGGATGTGTTGCGCTTTTAGTTATTTTGGTTTGGATTATCTCTGCCTGGCTTCATGAATCATGGTCATTGGTGGGCAAAGGACTGAAACTTAACTGAAATGTTGGTTCCACTCTGTGAAATCAGGAATTATTCCGTAGCAAAGGGTGTTGTGACGCTGCATGCTTTCTCTGCGGTTGCGTACTGCATGCTTTCTCTGCGGTTGAGTACAATTCTGTACTGTTATCTGCTGAGTGCTGAGCAGTGAATTCTCACCCTATTGCTTTGTCTAATTTTAGGTTGCATTGCAACACATGTTTTTTTAATTGCTCTGAGATCTACACGCACAAAAATAGTTTCTAGAGGCAGAAGTATACTAATGCGTAAGAATACCTTTTTGTCATCTCTAGTTTTGATGAAGAAACTGAGATCTACCTATAGAAACATCCAGGCATTTTTATTGTCTGGCACATAGTTAGTTTCATGATTTCTAAGTATATTTTAGTATTTCGTCCTACTTTGATTACGTGTGTTATTTTATATATCCATGTGCTGAAGATGCAGACACTTTCGTCACTTTCCTGTTGTATAAACTTCAGTAATGTGGACGTTTATGCCGATAATTTAGAAGCTCATACTTGCTAGACTTAAGCAGATAGCATCTGACATTTCAACTGCAATACTGCATGCATTTGTGCTTTTAGACACAACAGGAGTGTATCCTTACTTCTATACTTTTATACTTAATTAAAACTCACATGGTGATAACTAATTAATGATACGATTATACAAAGGTGGCAGCCTGTAGAGAATGCTCAACCTCGGAAGGATGGAATAAAGGGAACTTACAGAGTTGATGTCGACATTCCTGCTGACGATTGGGTAAATATCTCCAAGTTTTATGACGTGCTCATTTTCAACACTGGACACTGGTAAGTATTTAAGTTATCTAGGTTTAAGTTATTTGCTCTATGTTTTTATTATTGTGTTCCCCTCTTTTATGTGCGGGTAGCATAGGCTGAAATTTTGTTTCTTTAATTTCGTTCAAGGGCTACTAAGATTGCTCATGAGTTTCGCTTGATAACAAGTTTTAACATTGCATGTTCTCTATGTTGGAGTCATTTGGAGACTGAGCCGTTTGTGCCTAGAAAAAGCTTTATTTCAGTCTTGAAATGTTATTTATTATGTGACATAATAACCCTAAGTTAAAAAGTGTCTGGTGATGTGTACTGTCTTATACAGTACTACATTTACTTTATCATGTGAGAAGCTATATTTGCAGTTTGATCATGGATTGTCTAACTTTATCAGGTGGGGTTCGTATAAATTCCCAAAAGAGAACCCCCTTGTTTTCTACCGAGGAGGAAAACCAATTGAGCCTCCACTCAGCATCTTTGATGGGCTGAAGGTAGCCCTCAAAAGTATGGTCTCCTACATCGAAAGGGAGGTCCCAAGTAAAACCCTGAAGCTGTGGCGCACGCAGTCACCAAGGCACTTTGATGGAGGCGAATGGGATCACAACGGCAGCTGTGTGTCTAACAGGCTCCTGCAAGAACATGAGGTACCATTTGAGGGCCAAGCTTTTCATGATCTGACATCTTCTTCAAAATTTTGAGTCTTAGACCCCTGCACCCCTCCTAAAATCCTGTGCAGCTCGATTCCTGGTTTGATCCGAGGTTCGGGGGAGTGAACAAAGACGCGAGACTAGTGAACTCATTGCTCCAGGAAGCGTTAGTCGACACAGACATCCTGCTGCTCAACCTGACCTACATGAGTGAGTTCCGCGCCGACGCCCATCCGGCTGTCTGGCTCGAGAAGAAGGACGAGGCGGCCGTCTGGGGGCAGGACTGCATGCACTGGTGCCTGCCTGGTGTACCGGACACGTGGGTTGATATCTTGGCTGCACGGATCTTGCACTACTTCAAGCAGGGCAAAGGTTGATGTCGCGTCAAATCGAAGATCGGATTATGATCAGGACTGCCATGTGGATGTTCTGCGTTGCATCACAGATTTGGAACAACATGACCCCAAATGTTTATCCTAAAGCTAATGTAGGGAGAGATGAAATCATTCACCGGAGGGCGAGCCGACTTTGTTATACCAATTGATGTTCCTTTCTATTTTGAACGTGAATCTCGGCTCACAGCCACTGAATGTTGAGTGTTGCATGATCAATATCTTGATTTTTCATATTATTTTTTCAAAGTTACATCACCTTTCAGCGAAACCTGTGACACGGCTAGCCTTATCCGTCCCTTCACTTTAAGCGAAATCAGTGACGGGCTATGGGCCATGAATTATAATGTCAGCCCAGGCCCGAATGGGTTTGGTCCTGCTTTCTTTAAAGCTAATTGTGACTTGCTAAATGAGCTGCACAGCTTCCACAACGGCTCTGCTGATCTCAAGTGGATCAACAAAGCCCACATTGTTCTAATTTAATACCTAAACATATTGGGGTGAACGAGCCTAATTGCTACCGGCCGGTCTCCCTAGAAAACTGCATAGTGAACTTTACGTTCAAATGCCTTTCTAACAGAACCCAACCCTTCATCGAGCATCTGATTCACCATAGCCAATCGGGCTTTGACAGGAGGACCCTCGGTTATTAGTATCTTTTTCCCTCAAGTTAGGGTTTCGCTCCTCCCGGTGGCGATCTGGCCGCCGTCGAGACGATTTGCTTCCCTGCCGCCGCGTCCTCCCGCCGTTCTCCCTCGCTAGCCAGGGTGCGCAAGCGCTCGACCCTAGCAGGAACGGGGGCCGACGGATTTAGGGGTTCCACCACAAGAAAACCCGATCTGCTTTGTCTGCTTCGGGTGAGGGATATAATGGCTTCAGGAGGATCTTCGAGCACTGCGGGAATTGATGATGTTGAATCACTGATGAAAGAGCTGGGACTGAAAGAGGAAGATCTGGATGATGTGATCTTCGATGAGGTGCAGGCGCCACCAGAGAAACCTAGATGGGTTGCTTTGGCTAAGGTTAACACTCCTAAATCCTATAGCCAAACTTGGTTCTATAGAAACATGAGATCAGCATGGGATGCGGCGCAAGAAGTAAAGTTCAAGCCCCTGGAAAATAATCTATATACTGTCCAATTTTCATGCTTGGGTGATTGGGAGAGGGTAATGAACGAGGGCCCCTGGAACTTCAGAGGAGATGCGGTGCTGATCATGCCGTATGATGGGATCTCACAACCCTCAACCATTAAGCTGGAAACAATCGATATATGGATCCAAATCCATGATGTGCCGGATCTATATGCCCATCTAGTTACTCCGCTGGCTGCAAAGGTGGGTGAGGTTTTGTTCTCTGAACCACCATCGAATGACTTTGTGGGAAATTTCTACCGTGTTTGGGTTCGGCTCAATGTCCTAAAGCTGCTGAAGAACGCGGTGACTATGGTCAGGGATGGAAAGAGACAGATATACAGAGTCAAATATGAACGCCTCCCAGATTGGTGTGCGGTGTGTGGAATGCTTGACCATCAGTTCAAAGAGCACGGCAGTGGGATTCATCCGCCTTCCGCCTTGGTATTTAAGGATCTCAGAGCCAGCTGGTTTATGCGCAGTGGACGGGGTCCAGGAGAGGGCCGAGGCCGTCAGGGTGGAAGGCGTGGAGGCCGATCAGGAAGCCGACCAGATCATCATGAAAGGGATGCATACAGCAGGTCAGAGGGGACCGAGAGGAGAGGCTCAGGCGGTGGTGTACCCCCGGAGTTTGTGGATACTGATGTGGACATGGACGAAGCGAGCAGGAAAAGGATCACGGGGAAGGAACTAGGGGCCAACCATACACAACTTTTGAACAGAGAGGACAACCACAAGGTTGACGCCCAGCTAGCCATTGTTCCTGTCACCAGTCCTCTGATTGTCAGGGAGCAGAAACGAACCAAGACAGGGCCTGATCAAGGTGATGCAAGCAACTCAGCAGTCAAGAATTTGGCGGGCTCCTTCGAGGAGCGCCGCCAGGACCAATGAATGCTCTTTGTTGGAACTGCCGCGGAGCGGGTAAACCTGCGGCAGTTCGTGAGCTTCGCGATTTTGCGAAGAAGTTTACCCCTACCCTCTTATGTATTGTTGAGACGCAAATAGAAGGAAGCAGGGTAGAACCTCTAGCTAGCTCGATAGGTTTTGATAATGCCTTTGCAGTTGACAGTCAAGGCCGTAGTGGTGGCATTGGACTTTTCTGGAATAGTGTAATAAAAATTGAAATTCTTGGTTATTCGTGTTATCATCTGGATGTGTCTGTTGAGGAGGAAGGAGAGGATAAGTGGAGGATGACATGCGTCTATGGCGAAGCCCAGACTCACCTGCGTCACCAAACTTGGATAGTTCTAAAAAACATAAGCACTTTGAGCACTCTTCCGTGGATCTGTATAGGGGATTTCAATGAAGTTTTACGTCCAAATGAGCACGAGGGAGTGGGACAACGTAGCAACGCTCAGATCCAAGCTTTTCGATATACTATTGATGTTTGCATGTTGCTAGATTTGGGATACAAGGGACAATTTTGGACTTTTGAGAAGAGGGTAGCAGGAGGAATATACACTCCGTGCAGGTTGGACAGGGCTTTGGTTAATTCTGATTGGTTGGCGAGATTCCCCTTGGCCTCGGTCACTCATGAAACTGCAGCTTCGTCAGACCACCTTGCTTTACTCCTTGACTTCGGTCGGGCCAAAAAGGAGAAAAGGAAATACGAGTTCAAATATGAGACGATGTGGGAGACACATGAGGGCCTTAATGATGCGGTTGCACAGGGCTGGGGTGCGGATGCACCTTGTTCCACGGTGGAAGAGTTGAGAGGAAAGCTTACAAATTTAGCTACAGATTTGGGAAGGTGAAGTAATGACACTTTCGGCAGTGTACGAAAAGAGATTAAAGCCTTGAAAAGCAGATGGAGGAGCTATGGGGTGACCCACTGCATACGGGGCCATCACATGCAGAACTCAAGGTTAATGAGAGGCTGATTGAACTTTATCATAGAGAGGAAATTATGTGGAGACAGCGGGCAAGGAATTGACTGGCTGAGGGAAGGAGACAAGAATACAAAATTCTTTCATATGAGAGCGAGTCTGAGACGGAAGAAGAATCTCATCAAAGCTTTACAAAATTCTTTGGGTGCTATAGTAGTAGACCCTGACGAGATGAAAAGCATGGCGAATGAGTTCTATCAAACGCTATATACAACTGAAGGGGTGCAAGGCATAGGCGATGTACTTAATCACGTGCCAAGGAAAGTCTCAGACGAGATGAATGCAATGTTGAATGTTGACTACACAAAGGAGGAGGTGAAAACAGCTGTGTTTCAGATGTTCCCCACTAAAGCTCCGGGATCGGATGGCTACCCAGCGCACTTTTACCAGCATCATTGGGATATATGTGGGGATGACGTGACGAGGGTGGTTCTGAGCATAGTCAGAGGTGAGCAAAGCCCGAAAAGTATAAATGATACAGTTTTGGTCCTGATCCCAAAGGTTCTAAACCCTACCTTACTATCTCAGTTTCAGCCCATCAGCCTGTGCAACGTCATTTATAAGATTGCATCTAAAGTGATTGCAAACAGACTGAAAGTAATTTTGCCTGACATTATTTCTGAAAATCAATCTACATTTGTACCGGGAAGATTAATCACGGATAATATCATATGTGCATATGAGTGCCTACATTTCATGAAGAAGTCCAAATCCAAGACTAACAGCTTTTGTGCCCTAAAGCTGGACATGATGAAGGTGTATGATAGATTGGAGTGGTCTTATCTGAAGGCCATCATGAGCAAATTGGGCTTTTCTCAGCACTGGATCACCACAGTAATGGGTATGGTTTCTTCAGTATCCTTTTCTGTTCTTTTTAATGGTGAGAAGCTCGAGCCTTTCAGACCCACCAGAGGAATCCGACAGGGAGACCCAATCTCCCCCTACTTATTCTTGATTGCAGCAGAGGGCCTTTCGTGCCTCCTGAAATCCAGTTCATAGTCATCACTTGCAGGTATTAAGGTGGCCCCAACAGCCCCATCCATCAACCACATTTTGTTTGCAGATGACAGCCTGCTGCTTTTTAAGGCTAGTGTAGAGGGTTCGGTTGCAGTGTCAAACCTATTGGAGATTTATTGCAATGCTTCAGGACAGCTTATAAATAATGACAAATCTTCAATCTTCTTCAGCCCAGGTTGCCCGACTCCTTTGAGGACAGAGATCAAAAACACTTTACATGTCCAGAATGACTCCCTGAATGAGCGGTATCATGGCATGCCAACAGATGTTGGCCAGTCCAAAAACGGTACCTTTAAATACCTGCGAGATCGGGTGTGGGAGAAGATCAAAGGATGGATGGAGAAGTTACTGTCGGCAGCAGGGAAAGATGTCTTGATCAAATTAGTCACTCAGGCCATACCCGTATATTCTATGTCTTGTTTCCGTTTGCCACGGGGTTTATGTGAGAGTATAACATCAATCATACGGCAGTTTTGGTGGGGCAGTAAAGAAGGAAAAAGAAAGCCCAGCTGGGTTGCTTGGGACACTATGATCCAGCCAAAGCAGCTGGGAGGCCTAGGTTTTCGAGATATGGAGATTTTCAACCTAGCACTCCTTGCCCGCCAAGCATGGAGAGTCTTGACAGAAGAATCCTCACTGAGTGCGCAAATACTAAAGGCTGTTTACTTTCCACATTGAAATTTGTTGGATGCAGAGTTGGGATCACGCCCATCACAGATTTGGCGTGCAATTCTTGATGGGAGAGATATCTTAGCTCAAGGAATAGTTCGAAGGATTGGTGATGGAGACACTACTCATATATGGAGAAATAATTGGATCCCTCGGGATAGTTTCAAGAGGCCTTTGGTGTCATTAATTCCTAATCCTCCAGAAAAGGTAGTAGAACTCCTAGATAATACCTCGGCGCAGTGCAAGGAAGGGCTGGTTCGAACTATTTTTACTCCTTTTGATG